TCGCAGCTGGCCGGCCGGCTCGCGTCTAGGGTAAAGCCTTTGGGAAACCCCTCGCTGCTCCCCCGGCGCTGTCTTCCTCCGGCAGCGCCGCCTCTGCCTTCTCGGTGCGGTGGAGCCCTGTTCCCTCACCTCCTCCCTTTCTGCGCTCTTCTGTTTCCCTCTCCTGTCGCCGCGGTGGCCTCTTCCTGCGCAGCGCGCCCATTTCTCCCTCCCTAGGGCACTCGCGCCAGGAGTTGCCCCTCTCCCGGCTCCCCGCAGAGCCTGCGGCTTCCACGGTGCCTCTGTTCCTTTTTGTCCTGTTGCCCACAGCCGTGTCTCTCCACCCTGTGGGTGGTTTTATTTTCCTTCATACCTGTTTTCTTCCCCTTACCACATAGGTTGTCAAGAAGCAGCTAGTGTCTCCCTTCTGTTCCTCCCTCTGGGCCAATATTTATCTTAGTTTTTATTTTTATTTGCGCGTTTATAAGATTTAAAGTTAAGATTAAAAAATAAGATTGAAAAGTTTAAAATTCCTTCCTGAGCTTGAAAACAGGAAGGTCTTAGGTTGCTTATTTTGTTGCCTTTGTAAACTTAGTCAAACACACTGTACTGTGGAATACAATTTAAAAGACCGATTCCAAAAACTCTAAAAATAGGATGCTCTAATGGAAATTTTGGCAGTCTTTTTACCTATTGGATAGTGATAGAGGACTCAATTCTTTGAGAGCGATTTCAGTATTTAAGGATTATACTCAGAAAGAGCTTTACCCATCACCCTTTCCACCAAGGCAGGAAACTGCAGCCATTCAACTTCCTATTTTAAAATATGTACAGTCCTTTCTGCGTACCTTACTGGGAGCGTAATTGAGCTTGGCATTTTAAATGCACAAGGAAAAGGTTCCTAAGGAATGTATCGCCTAGCAAATAGAAGTCTTAAGATTTATTCGGCTGATGAATATCAAATGGATAAAGAATTGATGGCCAAGTATGGCCTTTTTCGGGTTGTAAATTTGTTAGGACACCGTAGAAGTGTCTTGTCAACTGTTGTGGAAGCCCTGGGAACCCTTTGGTCTTAATTTTTTTTAATTCTTTTTTTAATATTTTCCCCATTGACAACTCTAGAAGTTATTCTTTGCATCCTCTGAACGCCTGAGAGAGCTCCATACCCCCGATCCTTTTACTGAGCTGTCTCCCCATCTCTCCTTATAAAAATACTTCTGTACATTCAGAAATACACTGGATTTGTTTCCCCAAGAGCCCTTGAGGCCTAAATATTTTAAAAATCAAAGCAGAAAGATCTATTATGGTAGAGGAAGAAATGGTTCACTCATAGAACTGTGTTGTTGAATTTCTCACGTTTAAAATATACTTTAAAAAATTGTGGTAAAAAATACCTACCTTAAAATATGCTGTCTTATTTTATATTTGTGGACCAAAGATAACCTACTCAACCCTAGAGAAATTAATGTCGTTTTAAATTTTGCTTTTGAGTGGTGTTATATTCTTTTGATTTTGGAAAAGAGAATTAGGTTATGGTAATTATTTCCCTTTTTATAGTGTTAATGGTTTGTTTGTGGTTGACAATGCTTAAATAATAAGAGACAGAATCTTACACATTTTATTTTTCTGAGGTCCCAGGTACTAGAAATGACAGAAATATCCATTTCCCTTAAAAATGAACTTTATAATCAGCATTTAGACCTACTTTATTAGAAAAACCTTGTTTGTATATTTCCTATCTTATTTTCTTAAGAGGTGTAGTTTTTGCATCCTGTGCTATTTTTGCCTTTTTGAAGTAATGTAATATCTGTTTAGTGGTGTCAGGCAAAGTGATTCTACTATTTTTACACTATTAAGTTATTTTTTTTATTATCCCAGTTTAATTGACAGAAGTCAAAATACTGATTTTTCTTTTGACTTTTATATGGCAGTTGTAATTGGGAAATGCCAAGTGATAGTTTGCTATCAGAATTTAGGCTGTGGGTCTACAGTAGTGCTGCCCAATAGAAATATAATACAAGCTATATAAGCAATTTAAAGTTTTCTAGTCGCATTAACAAAATAAAAAAGTAGGTGGAATTAATTTTAACATATTTTATTTGATTTCTATATATATCATTTCAACATGTGATGAGTTTTAAAAGTTAATGATGAGATGTTTTACATTCTTTCATACTGAATCTGCAAAATCTCATGTGTATTTTATATTTACAGTACATCTGAATTCCAACCAGCTACATGGCTACGACCTTATTGGGCAGCACATACCTATAGGATTACTGTGTGATTCTTAAGATTCTTACCCTGAGAGTCTGCGGTAAATTCTGTGGAGTAAATTTAAAAATCTTTTTCCTAAAGTGCTGGGATATTCAAACTGAGAAGATTCTAGCAGGATGAAAGTCCCAAAAAGTCTCTTCCTTTTTGTGGACTGTGTTAATACTGAGGAGGATTAACAGGTGCCCTGTGCTTGTTTAGTGAGTGTCATAAGATGTATAGAGCGCTCAGTCATTTCCTGGTGTGTCATTGTTACAGTTAATTACATCTGCGTGTCAACAGTGTGTCAAGACATTGTATGAGTCTTTGTTTATTTACTATATCTGTTGGTATTAAGTAGGGAGAACTTGAAAACATACGAGAAGTTTGAACTTTATGGTAAACAGGTAGAGTACCTACTGTTGGAGGCTTATTTTCTGAATCGGTTTCAGGTATGGCTAAGAGTTCTGTAAATGCGCTTCTCTATATATGATGGTGTTATTAAAGGAAAGATAAAATCTTTTTAGCAAAAACTAGGAAGGATGAGGGTATGTTTTTTGGCTTTAAAACACTGGGAGCCCGAGTAATAGCAAAACACACACATGTGTGTGGTGGTTTGGTTAAACTGTAAAGGGAATATGGCAGTTTTTTAGAGAATGCTACTGACATATTGACTAGGAATGTGTTTTAAGTTGTTTTTGCAACAGATGTGGTGATTTGCACCATCTCTTGTTCAGAGCTGTTATAACTTAAAGATAACCCTCTTTGAAAGGTAACTGCAGCTCACTGACTTCAGTGGGGACCAATAGGCCCCATCATCATTCTTATCTTGGTGTCTGTATTCTGATAAACTTACCTAAATACTATTTTAGCTGTACTTTTACATTTACATTTAATGTCAGAATTTACTTGAAGGCCTAATTAATATTCAGTATAATTTAATATGAGAAACATGCCTCCTCCACAACTTTTATGGTATAAAGAAATCTTAAATTACCTGATCAGTCAAGAAACTCCCTCTGTAAAACCTAGTCAGTATAAACCTAGCACAGTGTTGGCAGTGTGTGGAGTGTTAAAGGATCAAAGACAGATTTGGGGAAGGGGATAGTTATAGGATGTTGCTTGTTCTGTGAGAGGTGCATACACATTATGTAGGAAAATAGAGCATTTTCATTTGTCTTTAAATATAGATGGCTATCCATTGACACCATTTTAGTTGGATAAGAGAGAGAATATGTTGTTTTGTTGCTACAAATTAGTCTTAGCAAATTTTTCTTTAGTTATTTAAGGAAGAATAATTGATAGTCTGGCAATTTTCTGTTTTTAAAAAGGCTTGATTTAAGTGGTCTTTACAAGAATTATATTTTTATTGAGAAGTTCTGCACTCAATGTGTCCATCTGTCTTGATACAGTTATGAGTGTGTTCTGTTTAGGGCCTTGAAGATTCACATGAATATAGGCTTTTCCTTATTTATGTATCATTCCTTTGGGAGAAATTATATTTCCTTTTAAGCAAGGAATACTTTTTTTTAATGCATTTGAAGTAACTATTTTATAATATCCTTTAATAAAAAGTAAAAAAAAAATCATATCTAAACAATCTTCAAAAAAGAAATACATCGGGCTTCCCTGGTGGCGCAGTGCTTGAGAGTCCGCCTGCCGATGCAGGAGACGCGGGTTCGTGCCCCGTTTCGGGAAGATCCCACATGCCGCGGAGCGGCTGGGCCCGTGAGCCATGGCCACTGAGCCTGCGCGTCCGGAGCCTGTGCTCCGCAAATGGGAGAGGCCACAACAGTGAGAGGCCCGCATAACGCAAGGAAAAAAAAAAAAAAAAAAAAAAAAAAAGAAATACATCATTAAAAAGTTCTGAATCTTATAATAGGTTTAGATTTCTTAAATTGTTTTAGTCACAGTTTTCAGGTTCTGCTCTTTAACATATTTGGAGATGAAAACTTTTTGCCTTTATATCACCTCCTCCC